TGTTAAATTAAATGAAAGAGATGCCTTTCTGCAATTCAAGGATGCATCTATCTTGCTCCTCCATGGAAAAGCTCTCTTAATAATGCAGTTTGAGTTAAGGAGCACGATAGATGCATCCTTGAATTGCAGAAAGGCATCTCTTTCATTTAATTTAACAAGCAATTATTAGATTGGCTATAAGAGGCTAAAATGTGGCTGGTTGGGAAATTGAGCTCTGAAGGCAACTTCCTCAGAATCAGAGGAGCTAAAAATCCTCTCCTGGATCATGTCTAGGTAAAGACAGGATCTGGAGGACTAGGCCTATCACTTTCTCTTGAATCATAACGATAACTAAGTCTGGATTACTACTGCACTAACTGAAGATGAAAAGAGGAGAAGCAAAGCTACACCCCATACTTAGAGGCATCTGAATGCTCAAGGCTTTTTCATTAAAGAGTTGTACAGTCATGGGCAGGAAAAGCTCCATGGGCATAATACCATTTTTGTTTTCTTCTTTTTGTTTTCAAAATATGCAAAAGAATTGGGAGATTCTGGCAGGAGCAGAAATTATTGTACTCTCTGTACCTTTCCATGATAACATCAAGTAGAGAACATATTTTTTAGTCATCACAGAATTGCAATTCTCATTAATGTTCTCAAATTCATAGATGTCCCAATCAGAATGTGAAAGTGGTATTGGCACCAGGAGCTAAATACTTGCCAACACCTACCAACTCAGCATTTTCTCTTCTAGACTTACCAGCTGATTCCATGGCCAGACGCATCTCGTAAGAGCTCATAGTTCCTGATTTATCCAGGTCATGCTGGCGAAAGACATTCTGCTCCACACATACGCACACAAAAAAACAAAAATGGTGGTAAGATTCCTTTACCCATACTCTATTACCATCTTTAAACACCTTCCTTCCACCAAAAGCTGTGCTGACCACACATACATGCAACCTGTCTTCTTACCAGCCAGTTCCTGATTTTGTTCCACAAAATCTGAAATTCTACAAGACCCAGACGAGCACTGCCATCTTTCTGAACAGCAAAACAGTCAAGGAGAGAACTTAAAATGTAAAAAGAATGTCCTATAATCTGAAAATCTGGGGAAATATCGGTGAACTGATTGGGAAATAGTGCCCTATCTCTTTGTAACACCTAGAGATGCCAGAACATGTATACAGAGCTCATAAATAATTTTGACAAGATTCCAGGCTTTCCATGTTCACCCCAACACACAATAATCTGCTACTCACTAACTATTTTTAAAGTTGTATATTGGTACCTTAGAATGCAGTTGTCCATATATGCTGATCTAGACACTTAAGTTAAACTCGAGAGTTCTCAAACGGGGGGATAAATAGAACAGCACCAAGTAATTATTGGTAAGAAAAATGTCAGAAAGATGTCATGCCTAGCTAAAGCTTGTTCACAAAGCCACTTGGCCATCATTGTTGTCCCTGAAGAGTCTCAGGTTAAAATAATAACAAGTAGCTTCATCTCATAGCTTAATTCCATTCATTTCTGCAGGGCTTTTTCTCCCCAGTGATCAGCTCTGGCTCCCTTGTGCTACATCAGTGATTCTGTAGAAGAAGAAAAACTGAACAAAGTACAAAAGGAGAGGTGAGGTTATTTGTTTCTATTGCGATCTGTTGTTTATCTTCAACTCTAACTCTCCACCCATAATGTTTGTAAGCCTTACTACTGGTGCTCGAATGAATATGTTTGTGAGCAGGGTATCAAGGCGATATACAGAGCATGAATAATCTCTAGTACAGTATCATAAACAATCTTAACACACTTCTGGACTATTTATCAGCCTGGACAAACACTACACAGGCACAAAACAAGCTAGACTAACTAAAATGGTTTTGGATAATTTGTGATTCAGAATAATGTAGAAGCCCAGCAATTTTCTTAACATGGAATAGGCTACATGAAGCATATTTTGCTTTCTTTGTTTTATTATGACCAGGAAATCTCTCTCATCCATAGCAGAGAGGATACATCCATCAGATTGATCATGTTGCGACAAGAATCCATGCTGAATCCATCAGTCTTCAGATCTTTGTCTAGCCAAAGGAAGAAAAAGGGCCACAGTTATAGAGGAAGCTATTTCTAAAGTAACCCTTGGAATACATATATGGAAAGGAAGATGTAAAAATCTGATTTCCTATAATCCTGGAATGACTAAACAGTACTTACGTCTAGCGATGACTCTGTTCAAAATAGTTCTGAGTTCAAAGACACTGATTTCCATGTCCTGGAATAATGGAGAATTGAGAATTAGTTGCTTGTAATTGTTCAGAGGTAACAAACGTCCCATTTTCTTTTGAAAGTAGGTTACTGATAACTTCTCACACACTGATACTACCTGGGGCAGTCTACAAATGTGTGTCAAGGGATGGTTGCAACACCACTGAAGATCATAACATTGGATACAGTCATGGGAGTTTTGACTGTGGAACTCTGCTAATATAATTTATTTCAATAAGCAAATAACAACCTCTTTTAAAAATGACCAGTTTTTATTTCATGATATATGAATTTTTAATCAAACTTTTGTTTTACTCTCCTAAGCTTTATATACATGAGCTCTCAACTCTCACTTTAACCCCACATTATCCTATGAACCAAATTAGGCTCAGAGAAGGTGACCTTGAAGGCAGTTATATTAAAGTTATATTAAAGACTTTTGATTCAAGTCTATTGCTTTCTCTACTAAATTGGCTCTAAATGGCAGTGTCCTCAAAACCTGCCCACTATTATGTTAGTCACAATAAGTAGCTGTTATTTTGCATCCTGCTCACTCTACATGACAACTAAGAAGAAAGAATTCACAGAAAGCTAAGGCACAATATTTACCTCTCCTGCAAGCTGCTGGAACATGTTCCTGAAATTTTCATCTATATCATCCTCAGATATTTCTTCCTGAGGAAACAAAAAATAAGAGGATCTGATTGAGCCATCGACAGACTACCTTTTGGACAAGGGCACATAAGGTGTAATGTGGGAGGCATGAAAAATCTCCTGCTCATCTATATCCTCTCTACTCCCCAAGCGTTGGCTATGGTGTCATGATTAATTCAAGTCCCTCAAATGTAAGGAAACCCTCCACACAGCCAAGGGGAGGGAAGCTTCACTGACAGCCGTGCTACAGCAATTCTGAGTCCCCTTTGATGCAAAGGAAATGGACACTTTAAAGCTTCTCTTTCCCTCTCAATTAAAAGGAGCAAAATTGGGACAAAGGGCCTGTTTAGTCAACATTGGTCCTGGCAGGTGCCAGGGGATTATATGGGTGCTACAGTGGATTAAGCAATACTTGAATTCTTCTAGGTTAAACAATACTTGGATAAAACAATGTTTACACTAAACAATACTTGGAATCTTCTAGAAATGTCTAGCTATGTATAAACTTAAACTGAAGATATATTATACCCTCCCATCATTAAAATCAATTTAAAACCTTTTTATTCCTTTTTTCTTTCTTTTTCTTTTCTGCAGCATTTGGATCACCTTGTTTCAATTCTGTTCCTTTCTTATTTTTCCTTCTATCCAAGCCTGTTTTAATTTGTAAGGGAACAGTCAGGTTTTTGGAATGGTTAACCAAGTATGGAAACATGCAAGTTAGACGCAAGTGTTACCAAGCCCTTGCCAATCTTATGGCTTTCAAAAGCATAATATAGAACAGCTCTTTCTCAATCTGTGTCTGTGAAGTGGGCTGGATTTCAATGCCACTGTATAAGACAGCGTTGTCCAAACTTGGCCACTTTAAGATGAGTGGACTTCAACTCCCAGAATTCCCC